ATGCTGTAGCTGTTGTCCTTTGGTTCCCTAGCCAGGAGAGGTTTGATGAAACTCAGTTAGTTACCTTGTGATTTACAGAGGAGAAGCATGCATGGTGACTTCAGCGATGGAATACAATAGWGTTATTTTTAACCTCTAAGATAAGCCACTCAAGCTACAGTTTTCTCATTCTTTTCCCACACTCCTGAACAAAACGCTGCATGGAAATGAAACTCTGTTATTTATTGGGCTGACAGCTTTGGTGGGCTGGGTGCATTCACAGTGGCACGTTCAGGGCTGCACCTGCAGCACAGTGATTTGTCAAAGCAGCACAGAGGGAAGAAGTGTCATAACTCCTTTAAACAATTATTGCAGAGAATGTGTTACTTACCCTTCTTAAAATTTACCCCAAAGGGGTTATATACAACTAGTGATTAAAACTGACCTAATTCATCATTTAATTAAAAGAAATTAAAATGTTCAGCAACCTCAGGCCACCACCCTAATGATTCACTTTAATGTGTTGTAGTTCTGCAATAATGGCCTTTGTGTGTATGTGCTTCTTGGCTTATGTCTGATATTATTTTGCCCCTGGAATAGTTTGAAAATTGTTTCAAGCTGTATGATCTCAAGTGTCTGTATGGATGGACATGTGCTTTCTTCTCACATTTTAGGAGTTTCACTGAAGACAACATACCTGCTCGTGTGCAGAATGCAGATCAAGGCCTATATTGTTCATTTTGTCATTAATTAGTTTCTCTGCTATGCAATAAGGACCTTCATGTCATTAGTATGATTAGTATGGCAATATTTTTGTGCTGCAAGAAAATTCAAAACTGGCAGAAATCTTGTCTGCCGGATCTTTCATTTGTTAGACAAGAAAGAAGCACAGGTCAGAGACAGAGATGCCACAGTCACTGGCCACAAGGAAAAGCAGAGGATGCTTCTGGATTTGCATTGCAGAGCCATGCAGAGATGTAACAGGATCAAACCTGGTATTCCAGGATGTGGTACCTGCACAATTAAGATGAGATCCTCAGGTGTTGGCCCTCTGTCACTTTTATTTCTACCTTGGGAGGAAAGAGGAGGTTTGAAGAAGCTTTATTCTGAGTGTTAACACCCTTTCTAAGTAGTGAAAACAGTGTTTTTATTATTAATAGCCTCTGTGTTCAGGACTTGGATTTGATGATCCTTGTGGRTSTYTTCCAGRTCAWGATGTTCTGTGATTCTATATTGGAGGGGTAGAAATTGACTGATTTGTACTGATTATGCAGTATTTCTTCCTTTAATTAAAAAATACAATGTCTACAATTCTGTTTTCTTCTGAAAAATGTCTTTTTGTTCCAGTTTTTGGGACACTGACTTTAGACTCAGCTCTAAGTATGTTGCCAGCTGCTTGTGAGGAAAGGTGCTGCTGAAGAGGTGTAGGTATGCGAGTAGATGTAGCACTTTCTCAGCTCTGAAATGGGAAGAGCCAAGAGGCCAGCAGGCTATTAATATTTTTAACTTGCTGTGTTTGTCACAAGAACAGTGGAAGATGTAAAAAAAACACTTGCCACATTCTCTTGAAGAAAAAGTGTGAATACTAGAACCTGCTCCAAGAGTTTGTCCCCCCTGACCTTTGATCAGGATCTTGTCCCAGCCTTCTCCTGTCTGACAGCTGGATTAATATTTATCATATTATCTGTTTCATTTCAGGGCTGCCACTGCTGCTGGCACCTGACTGTGCATGCTAAATGCCTCTCCATRACAAAAAGTGGGCAGGCACTCCTGGAGAATGCTCTTTTCTGGTGGAGTTAGAAGTGTCAGAACAAGTGCCAGAGACTGATCYTTGTTTAGCCTATTTTCTACCAAGTATATAATTTGGGGAAGAGGCATGGGTTTTCTTGATGACTTCAGAAAAAATGCCATGGGGAGACAGCAGGAACCTACCAGGCAGTAGTCAGCTTGGCAAGAGAAAGCAGAATATATGGGCAGAAGTAGGTATTTTAGTGTCTGATATCCTTATTTTGTTTGTATTGTGCTACTGGGCATCCTCAGACTTCTATTTTTTTTTTTTCAATGGACTGTCATGCCAGGGGGAAAGAAACAGATGTTCCCATTTGTCTTGTGTTGTGGCTTAAAATCATTTACATTTTCTGCCCCAAAATGACATGACATGTCGTTTGCCACTCTATGTATCTCCTTTGGAGTGAGTGACAGATTGCTGTTCAAGTGTAATAGAAAAGCAAATATTGTGAGGACAGTTTTCACCTAAAGAAAATGCAATCACTGATTGCTACAGCAGTGGGAATAGAAGGATGGCAGATACTGTAGAAGGCATCCAGTGGAAAAGACATTTTTATTATAAATTGTGTCATGGGGAAGACTCAAGGAAAATGCACTGGTTCTGGCTTTTCTACTTGGAGAAAAGGAGAGCCAGGGGTGAGTAAAAATATTGTGGAAAAATTGGCTCACTACTCTTGTAAAATGTATTTCCAGTTTTTGCCTTGAGCAAGTGCTCCTGCACCAGTTCCAGTAAAGAGCAATAACTGCAGAAAAMCTCTTTATCAGTCAAAGACACTCAGTGAGAGACTCATTAGAAGGGTTTTTTAAAAGTGGCAAAAAAACCTTTGTCAAAGACTTTGGGATTAGTCACTTTTCCACTCTATAGTTTGCTTTCTTATCAGTGTATTCATGCTCTGCTTCCTCCCTTTCTCGTGAGATAAATTGATACTCCAGGCCAAGCAGAGCTTAACTATTCCTTCTGCAAGTCATTTACTTGAGCATTACTTGTCCAGTCTTAATTTTTAGCATTTTTTTTATTTCTGTCCGAGTCCCTTGCCAGGCACATTTACTTTCAGTACACTGATCGAGATGAATTTTCATGTCAGGATCCAGTCAGTCTATTGGACTGGGTCAGAGCACMAAAAGTGAAGTTTCTGCTTGAAGTCTTTTAATTTTTTCTTTCTGAAGGAACAAAATGAAGTGAAAACATACTGAGAATCCTGAAATTACTGTTCTGTTAGGCCAGTTCTAAGCAGAGCATATCCATTRAAATAATTCATTTAGGATTGAGAAAATGTGCTGAACCAGGTGATCATCTAAACTTGCACAGTTTAAGTTTTCTCACAGTAAGTGACTTAAACAAGAGATATAGTTGCTTGGCAATAAACATGAATGAACACTCAAAATACCTGGTTTTAGTCAAGTAAGTCACAGTCAAAGTCAAAAACAATGGCTGTACAAACAAGTATCATCTGGAAATGGAACTTTAAATTGTGAATGCCGTAAGGTAATGGCTGAAATTATTTTCACTGATCTATCAATAGTTACCATTTATGCCTGACCTGCTTTTTCTGAATGTGAAGTCTTTCTGCACAGACTGAAACATGTTGCACTTGACCACAATTAAATTCTTGAAGCTTTGACACTGCTCATTTCACAGTGATGCAATAATCTCTTTGGGTCTAACCTAGTAGTAAAGATTTCTCTTGCCGTTATGTGGTCATCCATATAACAATTTTTTACAGCCTAGAGCTCAAAAATGTGCTAAGAAATTACTCTAGCAAGTCATCCATTCGGGTTAGAATTCCTACAAAGAGTTACCAGGAGGTCAGAAGCCCAAGTCCCTATTGATGGCTGTCAGCTTCACCCTGCCCACCTCTCTTTTCTCAGGCCAGGGTGTTAAGTTCCTGTTCCATCTCCTCTCCTGAGARCAGCTCTGTGTAGGGCCAGCCTTGGAAATAATTCTCCACTAGTCCCATCTGCTGGATGCTTGGAAGAATTGCCTGCTGGAAAGGGAAATCATCATGCCTCAGCCTCTAAATATCTGCTGGATGCAGTGTGCCACCAGATGTATATCTGCCTGTGGAAAACATATTCTCTCTAACCTCGTGAGAGGTTCTTGTTCACCTAAGCACATTTGGACCACTGCTGTTCCCTTCACCAGATTCCATGTGTTAAATAAAATCATGGTAGCTGATGAAAGAAACTTTAGACATGTTTCTAGAGAAGCTGCAATCAGAAAACCCAGGAGCTAGCAAAGATCACAGAAAAAAAAAATCTGTATCATTATCAAGCCATTTCCAGACCTGCAAATGAATTTCCTTTCTCCTGATATATTTGCTCAGCAGTCAGCTTTTCAAATACCTCAAATACTTCAAATTGAGGCTGCTACTGAGCTGTTCTTGAGGTGCTGCAAAGAAGGGAGTGTGGCCATGGCATCCAATCCTGGATGCAGCACTGCAGCCTCTCATGTTGTTATGAAGCTAAAAGAGCCTTTTCCATCCCTGAAAACAGAGAATTCCTGATATATTCTAGTCAGGACAAGCAAAGTTTAAGAGATCCATAGACCTGTTCTCTGCCTTCCATAAAGGAGTTGGAGGGTAGAAAATGGATCATGAATGCGAAGTTGTGGAGAAAATTTGGAATGAATGTGAATGGATAAAAGAGGAAAAATGCATTCAGTCCTAGCAGTCGTACTTCAGTTTGATTTGCTCTCTTCATTWCAGCCATTTGTGATGCATTTTTATAATTTATGTTTAGTGGCATTGYGGTTTTTGCTTTAAAATTCAGTTCAGTTGATTCTTATGCTCCATAGGCATTGAARTAAGTTCTACAGGTCAGAAACACAGCCACTTCAAAGATCCTGTGGAAATGTTACTGGAGGAAAATAATACCAGGAAAAGAAGTCTTTATAAAATACAAAGAAGTTTAAGCATCAATTTCCTTTATTGCAAACTGTGTTTGGGGAAAGATCCCTTTATTTGGTGTTGTTATTTCCAGTGAGTCTGAGATAAAAATCTCCATTGAGGTAAAATTTGTAATCCTCATCTTAAGATATAAAAACCTGATTGGTTTAAATGGAACTGGTCCTGTTGGCAGGTTTTTTCAGCTTACCTTTACATCTCTCTTTTTTATCACAGCWCTTTGCTGTAAATTAGCAGTTCGTGCTAAATTGGTTACAATTAATACTGCACTGYTCCTGTTACCAATAAAAAGATGTATCATAAATAATTTTAATGTGTTTTTCTCAATAGGTGGCAATGGCACAGTGGATAAGCAAAATACTGATGAAAGCAAGACCCAGAGCCAAGAAGAAGGTTTGTGCCCAGCTCCTTAAAAGGCCTGTCTTATGTTTTATCCACCTTGGTGAACAGTAAGCTTCAGGACTGTTTGTACATTTTCACCAGATTTGCTCAGGTCTTGAGTAATTCTCCCATTAGAGACCGAATCTTCATTCATGATAAATGAAATGTGTTGCAGTGCAGGAATGCAGACCCCTCTCCAGCTTACCAGCTCTACATTCTCCCTTTAAGGTCCCTAATCTAGATAATCCTCTCACAAGGAAGAAATCATTTTTTCCCCTCTGCATAGAATAGAAATGAGGGAAAAGAAATTTTGGGAAGGAGGAAGCAGACAGTAGGCTGCTTCTGATGAAAACTCAATTCCTGATGATTTTAAAGGGTATTTTCAAGTTTTAAAAAATTGTCTACACAACA